ATTCCGACACCCACAAAGACCTCATCCTCTGAAAGGTCTCAGCCTTGTTGGGAGGCTACCAAGGATGCGAAAATAAGTAATGCACTCCCCACCTTTAGTCGTACTGCGGTCATTACGATAAATATTGTACTCGTCTGACTGGTAGTTCAATTTCTTATGTCCCATGAATGTTGGGTTTCCGTAATTAGGATGCAACAAGGATTAATGAGACAGGCGTATTTCGCCTGAAACAGAACCACAATTGAAAAGATAGGGACAAAAGTGGGCTGGATTGTAGGAAATGTGTACAGTCTCTCTAAGAATAGAGGCGGATGAGCCCAGACAGCCATTACTACAAAATTGGCTTCTGAAGTCGCTTACGATGACGGATATCGAGAAGGTCATATTGTCATGGTGGGTGGTGACTAGTGTTGTATGATCCCGATGTCACATCTACCTCATCACACGTCTCCATAACTGATTTAGAGTTCAGCAAAGTTCCGGTCTTATTTCTCCAGATTTCCTCACACATACCTCCAACTAACTTGCTGGCATATCACCAAGGCAGTTAGTTAATGACAGGTGAATCTAAGAAGTTTGAGGGAGTAGTGCTATTAGAAGTTAATTAGTGGTAGATCGTTTCAACTCTTCCTAAAGTTGTTTGGACGGACAGATTTCTTTTTTATTTTCATCTGTTGACGTGTTGAAGTGGATCAAATATAACTTCCGAAAGTTCACACTGGAACTAACAAAGCCACCAAATATGGCGTTCAAAAGTTAACCGTGGTATATAACTCAGTACATAATCAAGTGATTTTCGTCCTCGTAACCGAAGATAAAAACAAGAATCATAGCGGATCAGTGGCGAAGTGTGCCAAGAAATAGGTGGTCAGCATGCTCACAACAGTGTTTCTTGAAAATTACAGTGAGAATATGTCTGGGAGGTGAGTGACATAGACGGCTATAGAATGTGCTGCATACAGTTTCAAGCGATTATCTTCAAACTCCTAAACCGGCTGCTCGACTGGGACCAAGGACGAATCAAAACAGTAAATTGATCGTCTAAAACATTAGATACATTTTGAGAACGAAGCGATAGAAAGCACTGTGACCGCACGAACGAGTCATGACACCTCGTTAAACGGTCTGGATGCTTGACCGCTTAGCTTCACCTTGGAGAATCGACTTAAACAGAGGATGTCAGCATCTAGCGTTGATTTAGGGGTGCTGTAGATGAATAATTATTAATAATAACTGATAACCTGTGAAACTGCCTCCCAACCCAGGGGGGTGGTGTGGACCCCAAGATGGAATGAGCAGGTGATAAAGTTCTAAAGATTCCACCATAAGTAGAACTTTTCTGATGGTTACGATGACAATGAACTATCTTATGGTCGTCAGCCTATACTAATGTGTTGTATGCACAAGGATTAGTCAGTTGGTTCTCGCGATGTTTCGCTTCTTGTTCATTGTGTATAGCACCCGGAAAAGAGAACAGTAATGCTGAGAACCACTTCGATAAGTGCTACCAAAATTAATGGTTGATTCAGGACTAACACAGTGCGAGTTAAGTGCGAAAAGATGGAAACTTGGATAAAAGGTTGATTTCTTGCAGTACTCCAGAAGGTGTATGCAAATCAACGATGGGAAAAAGATTCCGTTTTTGACAAGGGAAGCAACCAGAAAGAATCCACATAAATGAAGAAAAGAAACATGAGCACAAGAGGTCCCTTTTTCCGAAAATATTGGGGCATTTTGGCTCACCATGTAAAAGAAGTATAAAGGTGCTTTGAGAACTCCTCAGTTTGTCCAAAACGTGTTTACTCTGTGTTTCTTTGGTGACCCCTGTTGTCTTTGTGGCGCTGATTAACTCTTCTAGTGCCAGTGGTTCATTTCATACAGAATGCAGAATTTTATCTTGTGACTACGGACTTGAAAAGACCCATCGTATTGACAATGTACAGCATCACATGAAGACGTTTTAAGACATGGTTGAAAAGCATGTCTATGGCACAATGGGAGGAGTCTTTTAGAAACCGAACTTTCTGTCAAAACGACTACACAAATTAATGACCAAGGGCTTTCAGTACTGTAGGAAACCAATGATGTTTATGAACCTATGTTTGTGAAAGCACAGCAATGGAAAATGAAGAAGGGCATACCTATTCGAATAAACGGAAGAGTATTCATCAATCCATGGATGAAGTAAGACTTGCGAATTTTGGAGAAGATATAGTCCCTACTTGTTTGTTCGTTCCATCCTTCTGAGTTCCTTAATTATCTACAACATCTGAGTATTCATTTATTTTTTGATTACAGCTTGATTCCACACCGTATTTTTTGGTACAGGTATGGAATTTTCAGCATGTGATATCGGTAGTCCAAATTTTGCAGGTCGACCATAGATATCAGGTGTGCGTCGGCAGGGGATCGAACCCTGGACCATGTGCATAATCGGCGAGAGTCATAACCGCTGTGCCACCGACGCACACAACACATACAATAGTTGTGGCAGTCCTACAGTTTCAAATGAACTCACTGCATTTGTGAGCCTGATGACGGATGAGGTATCACCTATGACTGGAGGAAAACCAGAAGGTGAAGAAAACACACCTAGGTGCCTCATAACTGTCTACTATACCAGGTCGGTTACAAGGTGGCCAGCATCAATTTTGAGGCTGTTCGTATGCCACAGCCTCCGGAGGAATGACTACCGGTGAATCACTCCAATGTGGTTTGTTCGTTGCCTTCAGCTATCCGTGTCACGTTCTTCCATGTTGTTTTCATGAGGGAAATAGGCTGTCGTTCTGCAGCTCAGGAGTTTAGTCAAAGCTAAAATTCAGCTGTTTCCGAGTTGCCGCCTTCACTCAGTTGTCATGGTAGATGAGCATCCAAAATTTGCAGGCAGTCTTTCCACGGAAGCGAATACGGCTAGACCAGCAGATCCATTCTGGAGGAGTATTCTTTAGGTCACTTGCTTATAATTGTTAGTTCACATGAGCGTATCAATATGGTCATGGTATTCTCGAAGAAGTCCAACCACATCTATATGATGAAAGTGGTCAAAATGTGTATCTGGAGATAGAAAATTGTCAGGAGTTCTTCTGATATATCTCTGCACTTCTGACAAGCTCAGCATGTAGGAGACCATTCCCTTACAAACCCACAAATATTAAGGCAACGAAAATGATTAGTGATGAGCTTCACAGTAGTTTTGACCTCTGGGTGAAAGAAGCAGAGTAGCGTTTTGAAAATCTCGACTCCATCACCTTCAGGCCCAGTAGGACGTAGAGTACTTGGGAAAATGTCACACGGTTAACAAATTTATTTCTATGCCCAACGGTTTCCCAACACCAAACCTATTTCATAGATAAAAAATATTTTCCTTTACGCGAAAGTAGAAATTCAGAATAATTCTTTGTGTGTGCCTTTCCTAATTTTACATCCTTTATTTTCCTATACTAATTATATCTGTTATTATTATCTCTTTTCTTTCGACGATGAAACCCGGACAACTAATCGCGTTAGAGGATCAACTCCATTCACAGTAGAAACACGGTATAAACACACCGCATACTACAAACAACATATAATCAATCCAGAAACAATCCTTTAGGAGTCAACCAGAGCTATGACTGTCGATTGGTGGAACGGACTACGCAGAAATTTGCTGAAGACCGGGAACCTTCACCTCAAAAACAAGGACGAGAACAAAGGAAGACTCCGACAGATTGCAGGCTGACCTGCAAACTCTGGGAGATTGGGCTCTGGCTAAAGGAATGCCTTTCAACCTAAAGAAGTGCAGAGTAGTGCAACTTCATTCCGGCAGGTCACAGAGTGTAAATTACACCCTTGGTGGCCAGAACTTGAGTTGTGTGCCATCAAAACGCGACCTAGGTCTTATTTTAACAGATAAGCTAGACACCAGTGTAAATTACATGAGGGACGTTGCCAAAGCTTATGCAACTGTACACTTTATGTATAGGCAGCTGGGAACTCTTACTCCCGTAATATTCTTAAGGTTGTATACGACATACGTGAGGCCACTCCTTAAGGTGAATAATATCATTGCTCCTCCGCTACTCAAAAGAGATGCTGACATTCTAGAAAGTGTCCAGAGACGAGCGACAAAATGGGTGATCGGCCTCCGCAACAAAACATATGAGGAAAGACTGAAGAAATTAAGTCTTCCACACTTAGTTACCGTAGTCACAGGGGAGACCTCATCACCGTCTATAAGATCGTAAATGACCAGGCCCACCCTAATAAAAGCATCCTGCTATTAAGTGATTATGGGCTTCCACGAGGTAACCAACTAAGGATAGCACACCAGAGACCAAAGACTCGAGTGCGTTCACATTTATTTTCGCTTCGAGTTTGCCGTCTCTGGAACGCTTTACCGGCTGCCGTAACTACAGCGCCATCTGTGTAGACTTTTAAGCGGAAGCTGGGCAATCATGCAGAAATGCATGGCTTATGTCTCAATGGCTTATCCTCTTAAAATTTGAAACCACACTGTCACTGGATAAGCATACAAGCTGAATCCCCACGACCTGTCCTGTCTTCTCTCACTGTACCGACTACTCTATCTGTTCTTCAGTCACCTTTATTATTTTACTTATCTCAACCTATATTATCTACACTACACCCTATTATTATTATTCTACTTTTATGACTACACCGAATGACCAACGGGTGTTAGGTCAAACTCCATTCACGGCAGCAGCTGAGTCCTAACATACTGCACACTACAAACCACAATCTTGGCCAATCCTCGCACCACTCCTCTTGGAGTCTACCAGAGCTAAAGCAGTCGAGTGGTGGAATTTACTACGCATAAGTTCACCGAAGATCTGGAACCTCTACCTTACAATCAAGAAGCGAGCTCAAAGAAATCACCGGTTTATACTAGCTCGTAATCAGGATATTGGATATTGGAGTCAAATTGGTTTGCACCAGCTCGTAAGAAAACGACATTGAATATTGGAATTTTGTTTGAATAATCTTTATTATGTGGTTATGTGTTATCGCTACCAGAAACGTTTGTTTCGGGTGAGTCGAGTGTTGTACTTAACTATATTACGGGGAGTAGAGTTCATGTCCAGTTGTCTCGGCAGTTTGACTCAAGGGATTTTAGTGAAATAGTGAAAGTGTTCAGAAAATTTGCTATGTTTGTTTTCACAAACCCAATTTTACCATAATGCTGAATTAAATCTCACTAATTCTGAAATAATTGTGACATTCTTTAGTGAGTAAATTCTGAATCTTTTCTAAAGTGGCTAGTTTAAGTTCACAGACTAGAACTCGGTGCCGGTTTTCAGCATGACTGGCATTAATTCAGCATCCTGTTCTTTTTCTAGACATTTTCAGGAGTAGATCAGAACCTACTGGGCTTGCTTATCGGCGTTGTTTCAGCCCTCACAGCCCATATTCAGCACTAACTAGAACACTTCAGAACGAAAAGACTTAATTCAGAGGATAGTGGGAATTTGATTCAGATTCAGATTGTAAGGATAGCAGACTCTTGTTGTCTTCTTAATCCTTGCGATATATATCTCCGCAGAGATCCAGTTTTTCTTTGAAAGCGTTCACCGATGGAGCCGTTACTACTGAATCAGGTAAGGAGTTCCAGTCGTTGACAACTCTGTGAGAGAATCTAACTCGACCTCGGTTTGAGCACCTTCTTGTGGTGACCTCGTAAATATATCCCAGAGGGAGAGAATGGGATTGAAAGGTCAATCCCTAAATAACGCTGTGTTTGTCTGTGGTCGTATTGGGCTAGTCATTTTTGACCATTTTTTGCCAATGTTTAATCAACACAACACTTACACTTGGTTTTCCAGCTAGCGATCACTGCATTCATAATTGAGCCTCAACAGCATTGCCACTGGTGACTATCCCACTAATCACTTTGATCGTTTATATCCAGCACCCGAGTAAACTACTAGATCAATGAGATTGACCATCTTCTGATTGTCTATGAATCTCCAAAGAGGAACGTCTTCTAACTAACACACAATGAGTACTGATGAATTTCGGCCTTTCGTATTTGTCGAACAAAAGACAAACTATTGGCAAGCGAAGCGGTTGACTCATGACTCATGATTGTTTCGTATTTCCATTTATTCGGGAAGAAGGACTTTCAACAGGTGAACTGGAAGATACAAATTGTTCTTCTTGTCCCCTGCTTTGTGTGGGCATGCGTATTAGTACTTAGTGGTCTACCGTCTTATTCAACGATGTACAATTCACGAATAGGAAATAATTTGTGTAAAATAATTTCTCAGGGAACGTCTTTGATTAGATCAACTAAAAGTCGTCAACTAGTGCCGTGGAATTCGACTGACTGACTGACTTCAGAATTAGTAAAAACTATCTTGAATACTTGGGTATCTTGTCATAAATTTAATTTCGCATGACATGTCATAGGCATGATCGAATTTCCTAATGCACTTAGCCTCCCCTTCCCTGTCACGCTGATAAGTTTGAGACTATCTATTTATGATCAATAAAATAAACACTGTATTCCTCTGCTTTTTCGCCTTTAACCTTAGTCATCTGTTCAGTGAAATCTGAAAAACATTGGAACCAAATTGATCGTTACTGCCAGGAGGAAACTGCTGAATATAAATAAGATTTCAATTGTTATGGAGAGGTAATTTGATTTTTGTTTGTTTTTCCTGAAGAATATATACGTTTTCGCATTCCTTTTCGTTCTGAGTGGAATATGGGCTTCAAGCTAGAGCTTTGCATTTTCAGAAGCAGTGAAGTTTTACAGAGTGTGATGGCTAACCTAACGTCTGACTTCCCATCTCTACCGGGGCTTACTACCGGCTAAGGGGGGTGCAAACGACAATTCCTAGAAGCCTAGCACTCGAATTAACCTGCACTGAACAGAAATACCCACGTATATCATATTTCTCATCCATCACTCCCTAGTTTTCGATGGTTCCCTAACTAGCTAGCTAGCCGGTCATTTTGCAATTGAATGATAAGGGGAACCTGAGATATCTAACAGTCGATGGAGTGGGTGATATAGCTTGTTTATCATTGGGAAATCATGAGGCATTGGTATTTGTTATTTAGTCTGTTGGTCGGATATGATTATAAATATCGTAGCAAATAAACCGTCCGGCTTTCTTCCTGCCTTTTTCTCATTTCAAAACATCCGTGAGCTATTAGGCAGTCTGTTCTCTTTTGCCTCTTTCGTTCCAAGTGCGCCTTGCTGTGGCACGAGTGCCAACAAGCACGAAACCTACATCCAAGGCTTCCTGCAATTGGATTCATGTTACCTACTAACATATCCGAATTGTGAAACACACAAGCTTCTATCCCGATTAGTCGTTGGCTTATGATTTCGTGTTTCTTGTTAAATGTTGTCTATCGAATATATTGCGTATACTTGTTTGGAGATTGATGTAAGATTTGGCATGAAACAACTTCGTTGACATTTGCACACATCGAGCCAGTAGGTATTCCTCGTGATTTCTCACGCAGTGTACCAGTGTGAAAGGTTTGTGTACACCATGTAGGCGAAACATTGCATGATTCCAAATGGATCTCCGCAAGTAAATTCGTAAATAGATGGAGTAATCTGTTGAAGTTGAGTTTTGTATTCCCAGTTGATTGATTAATATATTTGAGGCGAATCTCTCACTCTCCTTTCACATGTTGGCGGTTTCTAGCCCAGATGATTTGACAAAATCTGATGGTTAAAATAATGTTATTCTGTTGATGGTGGCTGTTAACCATGGAATCTAAGATGCGTCTCCTGTCCTATTATAGGCTGTCAAACTGGACGACTCTTCGACGTTTGAAAGGATGGCTGTCTGCTGGGCTTGAGTCTCAGTGGGAGCATCACCACTCACTGACTCACTCACCTGCTTATTCACTGATGGGTGGAGGTAAATCCAGCTGATGATCCTCAAACAGGATGGGGCCTACATTGTGGATTCCAGTGCTAACCACCACCTCCACCGTCACCAGGACCAACAGCAGCAGCAGCAGCAAACAATTGACTTAAAGAGTAGAGTGAAGTGATGTAGAAGTGGTAACCTGATAGGCTGACAATAATGTCTTTCTCTTATTTCACTTTTTTTTATAATCAAGGCAAGGTGAAAAACAATCAACAAGTCAACAAGCTAAAGCAAAACTTCATGTTGGAAATTCGATATCGAAAAATATCCCAAATGCTCAAAGAGAAACAGGGCTTGATAAAGAAGGAATTGATGAGGAGGAAATTTCATGGGATGTATTAACCACAACAAAGCAACTATGCAACCTATCTGATTCCATACAGGGATATTTTTCTGAAGAGCTGTCTAAGTTAGACAGCAATGTTGAACATTACACTGGAAATGAAACTGAATCTAATTATTCCAGCGTGCATAAAACACTCAAAGCTGCTAAAAATAGCCTACCATATGATATTGATGACGTCTTCTCCCAATGGGGGGTAAGTTATCAATGTGCTAGATGGATTCACGCCATTTGATCTTCCATAACGGTTACACTCTCACGTTTCGCCATATTACTATTTCTTCTCCTATACACACTGTTCATTACTAGTTCTTTTGAACCTGTTTTGTCTATCTTTGTGTGCAGTATGGATTGTCGTGGGTTGAACTGGTGCAAAGCTGTTCGCTGAAACCCAGTTCTATATGGTTATCATTAGTAGATTATACATATATTAATCTTTCGATGAGAGTTAAAGGTCTCGTTAACTATAATTTTCCTTTCTCATGGGGAGAGATCCACAGCCACACAAGGCAGAAACACAAAACTGATGAGCTTAGGTTTTAGTAGAGAACGCGAAATCTGTGTTCCCACTTCATTCGTCCACACACCAGTCTAACGATAGTGTCACACCTCACTGTATTTACCAATTTACGTGTTTGAGTGATTACATTTACCTAGCCAGGGATTACTCATCAGTCTTCGTAGGTTAGGCCTAAGGATGGATGCGACCGAATTAAGCAGATGTAGACAATTCACATCAACCAGTAGTCCTTGTTAGTCAGATTGATTTTAGGAGTTGGCGGAAGTAGCTAGTCAGGAATTGGGTTGTTTGAACTGATTCGGTTGTCGTCTGAGCTGATTCAAAATGGATACACCTGCAAAGAGCTTAACCCAAAACTGGTAAAACGGCCGTGTGATGATTAGATCACTTCGATCTGGCTAGCAAGCACTATTGATTGGCGTGGGCAGTATACAATGTATCAACTCAACCAATCATTAGTATTGCGTTTCACGTACTTTTGCTTGTTTTCTTGATTAAAATGTACGATATCAAACAGATAACATTTTGAGGTGTAAATAGTTCCGGTTTCCGGAGGAATCTGTGGTAAAATGTCACCTGCTAGAATACCGTAGACTGCGAATTGAGAATTCGACCAGGAGATGTATGACGTCACACCACAATTACACAGCAGGATCGAACAGAGCCACAGTTCTAGAAGATGTCACAGTTAGGTCGAGGGGAGGGTTGTCTACGTTTTCGTGTTCAGAGAAAGGTTTCTCAGTCTCTGCGCTCCCATGGCCGCTTTCTTTCCCCCTCCCCCGCCACAAACACATACACAACCTGGAGTAGTGCTTTTCCGCGATATGGGACTTGACAACAAACTGCAAACATTATCTTCCTTATCAGTTGATAACGCTGTGTTATATTTGCATATTTGAATCTTAGTTTCATCACTAGTATTACTCTCATTCTTCTTCCTCTTCTTCTTATCATTAGTGTCATTATCATTGTTGTTGTTATTATTATTATTATTACTGTGATCACCTTATGCATTGATTGTCATATGCCTGTGACTTAATTCTCCTACCACAATGGCTTGAAGTGTCCATGATTAACAACTCTACTATGTCATTGTAAGGCCCAATGAGAAGTTACCCAACGGTATGCATTAGCTTGAATCCGCTTCTCTAATTATCATGATGGGAATATTTTAGATTTTGCATCGACTTGTAGTATGTTCTACTAATTGTCAACTTGCTTCATTGTTGATGATAACCTACCTACCTGCCTATCTACCTTTGATTTCATTCGATTGCGTTCCGAGTGGAAAACACAGCTTGAGGCTTGTGGCATTCTCAATCCGTCTACAAGGATAGACTGTGCCATTAGGAATAATCAAAACGTAGCTTCTGGTTGGCAAATGTTCACACTTTAGACCCCTTTCTTCCCTACTCAAGTGACTTATCTAGCAACATAGGAACATGTGAAAACTTGCACCTTTTCAATTTGTTACACTTCAGAAGGGAAAGTGTAAACACGAGTTGATAAACCTTAGTGAAACTGTAATCAATGAGAGTACATGGAGGAGAGGGGATTTATTAGATGAAGCTTTGGCAGGATTTTCAGAATGTGGATATAATATTAAGCAGTGGAAACATGTATGCTGTACAGAGAATGACTTTCAGTTACATTACGAGTAGTCTCCAGGTATTGATTTTCAGCCAGAAGTCTAATTCATTCTGATTTCATGATGTGAAGACCGTTTTTTACTCTAATAAGTAGAGTTTTATTGCCTAATAACGTTTCTCCTCACTCCCCCTGTTTAATAAAGTTCAGAAAGTTGCGCTTATTGTTGGATAATTTAATGATGTAAGATGATCCTGCTTGACTGGACTGCAATGACACTTAGCTGACAGATAGGGAGTGAACTGACAGAGCGTGTTGACCACCTGGTTCAACAGCCTTGCTCTGACTGAAAGTTGGTGCCTACCGGGTGCTAAATTCTAACTTCACTATAGTATATTTTTAAAGAACACGGATTCATTTGGTTGTTTAATTTTTCGATGCTTTGATACAACTGTCAGTGTCAGCGGTTAACTTCTGTTTTGACTCGTAGATGATTTGTGCATATATCACTGACTTTTCATTTGGAAATGAGGAGTCAAGGGGTACTTCAGCGCATATCTAGTAGCTTTATTACTGTATGACATACATACGTCAGTCAATGTATTCCCAAGCAGTGTGGAAACAAGTGCATCCTGAAGTCAATCAGAGAACTGATAAATGACTGAGTACAGGGGAACAGAGTATTCAGTTTAAATTAGGCCCTGGGCTTGAATCAAAACACTTAGAGGACATATTTCAGTCATCAGAGTAGAATGACAATGCTTTGGATCCACCTGAAACAGGATAAACAGCTAAGCTCACATAGAACAAACAACTACTGGGAGTTGACAGTTGAACGTACAATATCAGGAGTTTCCAGACCCCACACACTCACGTTTCATATATATTCATATATACAGGTAATAAAGCGAAGTATGGATCAGGTGAGTGACTTGGTTTATTAAAGCATGGGATATTCGCAGAGGGGCGTACCCGTATTTATGTTCATTGATTACTTCGATTTCCTAGTGGAACATAAGACTACAAACTTTGAGCTTTGAAGTTTCAGTGGAGAAGGGTGGTGACGTTATTCTTCGTTTCCACGATGTAAAGTTGCTAATCTCATACTTAACCTAAAGTAATTTTCAACTTTACCATGACCACTAGTGGTTCAGTAGCGATACATCCCCCTTTCCACTCTGTTCTGTGTGGCTGTCGTTCTACATTGTATTTGAACGTTGTAGTATATCACATTGTCATCATTATTCACTTTTGTTCCAAGGCGAACATGGAGCGCCAGCCTCTTTTCGACAGTGCACAATTTGCTGACCGCATCCGTGCTTGTTTTACTCGCACTACAGGGTGTTTTCTGCATCCCATTTGGATGAACTGCGAGCTCATCGTTCCTCATCGGCGTTCCACTCAATGACGGCGTACTGTGTGATGTCAGTTAGATGACGCCTCAGCGTATATCCGGTTGATTTTGACTTCCTAATGCGAATTTGTTGGGCAATGAGTTCTTGGCTGGATCCTTGTCAGATTTCCCTGTTCTTGAATAATGAGTTATTGAAAGGTAGTCTGTGATGGAAGTTTGCGGCTAGCCAGCGGTTGGGAATGAATTACGGGAGCCATCATGTCTCTGAACTATATAGAAACAGTGAGTTGACTGACATTAAGGTTGACAGTCCGAATCTTGTTCCGTATGCTGAGTGCAGTAGGTTTGCACACTGATTTCAGAGCAGAAAAGGTCAGTCTTGCCTTATTTCTCTTGTGTCTGTAGTGGTAGTTAGATTTGTTTGCGAAGTAGTGGAGGGGGACAGGGTGGTTGGTGAGTAGGGTAGTTCACCTTAGTCCCATGCCCACAATCCTATCTCTTATTCCCGTGCTCAGGATGGATTAATAAACTAGACTGGGGTTTTCATGCCATTTTTGTTTAACTGTTCGTAATATTCGCTTTTTATCTTCTCTTTCATCTTCTTCAGCTGATAAATGTGAAGAAAGCATGTCAAAGACCAGTTGATGAAGAACAAGTAAAGCCTTCTCAATCGAATCTAGAGGAGAGTTATTCTTCAATTTGTGATAGAACATTTAATTTGGATATCGGCAATTTCGCAGATGATGATGATGAGGAAGATGAGAAATACGCTTCTCGGAAGTGTTTATCAAGGAAGGCTATCTGTCCATCAGAAAATTCACAAAGTTTTCAATTAATTCCTGAGAATCAGACGCTGGATGATGACTGCCACTTGATGCCAAGTAAACCGAAGTTTTATGATGATAAATATAAGGCTCGAAGGAGAAGAAGAAAACAGGTGGGGCACCGAAACCTTGGTGATGACGCCTGCAGACCTTCAACAAGCCGTCTATACTATGGTCAACCCATTCCTTCAACCAGCAGTGACGACGAAAACAAAGAAAATAGGAGAAATGTCTCTGAAAAATGCTTTGCTAGTAAGTGTACTGGCCAGAGACCAAGTGAGAGTGCTGAAAATGCACCTTCATGACTGATCTCTCCACCTCAGCATCCTGGTTGGGGCACCTCAGAGGACCTTCTTCCGTTCTTAAATAGAACTGTTCCAAACTCTTTTGTACGATCACTTTATAACCACAAATTCAGCAATAAATTGTTCATTTGGTTTAAATTGTAGTTGATTTCCTTGTTCAAGTCAACACAAGAAATGAAGCTATGCGCTTAAAATGTAGTTTTCCAATCGGGTATGTAATGTAACTGTTATTATCCTACACGAAAATAGTTCATAGTGCGTTGTTGGTTCACTAGTACAGTGGTTTCCGACCAGGTAGGAGGTCCAGGTTGAAATTCCGGGCTACGGATATTAGTCCTGGAAATGATGGAAGAGTATGTGTAGAAGTGGTAACCTCTAGTCTGTAAGAGCAATATCACCACTATGGTTTCTCAAGCTTCAGAGCTTGGAGCCCTATGTTTCACACGGAATGTAAACAACCTGTACACTCGGATGTCTTCCCGCGATTGCGAATATTTTATCAATACACTTCAGATCATGGAATATACACATTTGATCATAGGGAATGATAAGAAGACGGTAGCAGTGAAGAAAATTTGGTATTCTACGAAGTCATCAACCAGACTGTACATTCGTGTATTTATAGTAAATGGGTGGGAAAGTTCCAGAACCATTTCCGGTCAAAGTCGAATTAGTAAAATTAAAAGGTGTAATAAACACGAACATCGGATAGAGAATATAGTTAGGTAGATGGGTTGTAGTGTTATCCTAGAAATACTTCAGGTCAAAGGTCAAATTAGTAAAATTACAATTAGGAATTAAAATGCCATAATAAACAGAGGTGGGGGGGGGGTAACGGATAAAAATTAGACAAAGTAGCATCATAATTACTGAGAAGATTGACATATTGTGCAATTGGGGGTTAGAAATGTAGAAATAACAAAATAGACGGGATGTTTAGATGAGAAAATATGGTAGTGTAAAAACGGATTAAGAAGAACTTAGAAATAACGTGAATGAACAGGAAGTTTGGATAAGAAGGATAATGGGATAGTCACTATTAAAAGAATTACCTGTTTATGATGGCCATGGCAGGGACGAGGGTTGGACGTATTTATTTTGGATACACAGCGTGGGTTTGAGGTCTTGCATGGCTAGTACCTCGGCTATGCCCAGATGTCTTAATTCTACTCCTTTTGATAGGTTTGATCGAATCTTATATATGGTTTTGAAGGATTTTTCGAAAGGCGCTGAATGTCCTGAGTTGACCAGATGTTCTGTCACTGAACTATATACACATTTTCGCTCTCCTTTTACTAGCCAGACTGGATAGTGTTCACGAGCGCGTTTTTCAAGTTGGCGCACGGTACGGCCGATTTACACAGCTCCGCACGACAAGTAAACTGGTATATGCACGTTGAAGTGGCCAAATGCGACAGTTTGTCTTTCGCGTTCTGACTGAACGCTTTCTTGCAGGAGAACGTTAGTCGTAGACTTTCGGCGAAGTATGTTTGCCTCAGAGATTTGCAAAGACGTTTCCGAAGGATTTCTGCTTCAGTGTTACCTTTGAATTCTAGATTAAGCAGAAGTGTCTTCTTCGGGACAGAAAGGACTCGTTCAGAAGTTTTCTTTGGTTTTAGATTCTTGTCTATGAACCTAGACGGAAAACAGTTTTCCATCAGGGTTCTTCGAAGATTACGCGGCTCTTCATTAATCACTTCCCTGCTGCATATCTTCCTCTTTATGTGCGTCGGTGGCACAATGGTTAGGACTCTCGCCGACCATGCACATGGTCCGGGGTTCGATCCCCTGCCGACGCACACCCGATATCTATGGTCGGCTTGCGAAATTTGGGCTACCGATATCCATGCTGAAAATTCCATACTTGTACCGAAAATACGGTGTGGCATCAAGCTGTAATAAAAACATTTAAAAAAATTAAATGATACGAAGCTTTGGAAATTGATGAATTGTCCATTCCATGTAGTAGGCGTTTTGTATGTGGAAGGTTTCAGAGCAATGTTGGCGTTTCTTCTTAGATGGACGTTGAGGAAGTGGAACACTCGATCGGATTCAACTTCAAGAGTAAAGTCGATGTGTGTTTGGTGGGCATTGTTGAAGGTTTGTAGTAAGTTTTCAAAGTGCAGATTCTCATCACAAATGATGAAAGTATCATCACTGTATCTCTTGTAAAGATAGAGGTCAGTTCAGTGATAGTCGATGACAAGAAGGTGTTTTCGAGATTGGTCATAGAATAGAAAACACTTCAACCGAAAATTGCTCTCCAATATGTTTGTACCTAATTTTCAAGAGCTATATATTATGTTCAACATGTATAAAAGTCGAATGAAATGTAGGAATATTCTCACCTTTGTCAATGCACTTGTAGCGAAGCAGATGCACGGAAAGAATAGAAACAATGGCCTATCTTACATTTTCTGAACACATGCGGACATATTTGCAGTCATGAGGCGTCTAATTTATATGGAATGCGAGGTAGACAATCCTCATTACCTAAAAAATAATGAACAGATCAACTAGTTCAAGCCTACTGACTATCACAGAGTGCATCGCTACAAAACAGTGTCTTGATATTGCAACAGTATTTCCCTTGTTACATATGTATATTTGTAGATATATACACATATATATAAATGTATATATTACACAACATGGCCAAAAGTTTCATGAGTCAACCATAGCGTCCACAACTAGCTGAATGAAGGTCACAACAGTATGCAGTTTAATGACTTGTACCTCTAAGATATTCCAGTCTTCAGAGAACAAAGTACTACTTCGAGTTAGCAGTTAAACGTACAGTATACGGAGTTTCCAGACCTCACGCCCATATTTCATATCTACAAATAATAAAGCGAATTGTGGACCAGGTGAGATACTGCCTTTATGCAGGTATAGTTTATTGGAAAACAGGCGTACATGTATCTCTGTGTTGATTTTTTTTGAGTTCTGCATGACAGATAAGGCTTTGAAGTTTCAGTGGGGGTGGGGGTGGGGGTGATGTTATTCTTCGTTTTCACGGTGTAGAGATGCCAGCCTCACACATCACCTGAAGTTCTTTTCATCTTCATGGAGCTTACTATATTACTGCTGGCTAGGTGAGGTAGTTTAGGATTCTACCGACCACGAATCAAGCTCTAAGTACTTATTTCTGCACTGAAGAGTTCAAATAGAATTTGATAAACTCTGTTTCCCTGTGATTAGTTTGAAGTCCAATAGCAGAAGCAACATATATTTGTAAGAGTTAATGTTTCAATACCGCGGATATTCTCTATCTGGAAACTCTGTGGAAGTGACAAGTTGATAAAAGGTGTTTATAGTGTTATTATTATTGTCCGCTTTGAGTTCTTATGAGACATTGGGCTTGAACAGCAGCACATCACCATTTTACTCTGTTCTTCACCGTCTCCATTCATCTGGCTCCTCGTTTGTGTTAAGGTCCTCCTTCTCTTCTCACCAAACAGTCATAAATGCCCGACGCGTCGTTTCCTAAGTGGGCCTTTGTTTCGCTTCACTGTCCTCTAAGAGCATATGCAGTCCGTCCACCTCGATCCCCTTCTAAATATTGTTTGAGCCACATACTCTCACTTGGTTCGTTGCTTGTTGATTATCCTTTCTCGTCATCTGAGCTTCAGTATGGAGCCAGCGAAGGGGACATCTGTTGATTACATAATGGTAATAATAATAATAATAGTAATAGTAATAATCATAGCAATAACAGTACATCATTATAATGTATACCTCGCAATTATTTCATTTTAAATTTCGCGAAATCAATGTAAGCACAGAATGAATCATAAAAGTGATATTGCTTGATATATTTATTGGTTGAGGGATATATCAATCATTGTATGTATCATAGAAATTGTATAGTTTATCGGTCTATGAAATGACTATTCTATCGCTCAACCAACTGTTGTCATTTGCATTGAAAAAACAAAATAACTGAGCAAAGAATATCCTTTTCGATAATTTCCTCTTCTGGCTCTGCAAGTATATACATGTGTTTATATACATAGAATATTCTAGAATAGTAGTCAATAACAATATTAGTGTTTTCTAAATGACATCGATTTGTTAAGTTAGATCAATGCCTAAATTATAATAATAATAATAATATAAATATGGAATTATGTAAGAGTTCTAAAGAAGTACAACAGTTGTAAGAAGTTAGAAAAAGAAGCAGACAAAAATCAAGTGATCAGAAATCGAAAAGTTTGTTGCCATGATTATAGAATTGTCTGAATGCATAGCTTCGCCGTCTCTAACTGAATGACTAAAGCCTCAGCAATGTAAAGTGGATTGATAGTCACCATTCACCAAACCGCGTAAGGTTTCAACTAATTTAGTGATGTATGAAAAGGATAAAGGCTAGGAGAGGGTGAGAGGTTTTAATAACAGATTTGTATACTGATTTTACCTAGGCCAAGGGAGAAACAATGGTAGAACAAACTTCTCTTAGACTCAAGAAATAGAGTCCTTCCGAATGCCCATAGTTCCGGTTACCTATAAAACACTGAATCGGATTCCTTTCTGAAGGTTGAATGAAGTATTAACCATCAAAGAGAACAATGAAGTTAGTTAAATCCCAATTATTTCATCTATACGTTTGATTTACCAAATTATGAGTAACTCCTGTTGCGTAAAGAGTGACAATGCTAACTAGTTGTTTGAATATGATGTATTTCTACCAGTGAGTGGGTGTTACTAGTGGGTGTGTACTGATGAAGAGTCCCAAAGTAGGACAAAGTATCTGTCCAATACTCGTTGGCGGTTTTCCAATGATTCTGTCCCCAATGTCAATTCATGATGAAATCGTTTAACCAATAAAATCCCTGCAAGCAAACACTTGAACATCAGTATATAAATCCTGATTGCCTTTTCGATTTAATTCTTCTTATGATTAGTAAACTGTTTTTTGGCTTATTTATTGCACTTTATTTTACATTGTTACAGGTTTGAGTTTATCAATTCAGGATTGATAACACTTCATTTCAATTGGTCTATTCAAATGACAAGTTCAGTGCCTGACGAAAATAATAATAATAATAACAATAGTAATGAAGGCTGTAATGAACATTGGGACAGTTCATTGATTCCATTCACAGTTGATCCGGTTCACGGTAGTATACTACCCGGAAAATCACAATTTATTCAGGTAAAAAGTAATGAGTAATTAATTTCCTGTAAACTTCAAGTAGCGCGTCGGTGGCATAGCGGTTAGGACGCTCGCCGACCATGCACATGGTCCGGGTTCGATCCCCCGCCGACGCACTCCTTTACCTCGCTGAGCCAGAAATAATTCTGGTAAAGAGGAAAGGTTGGGCATGAGGCTAGCAACCCCATCCTGTAAAATAAACACTGCTCCAGAAACTTCAAGCCAACTAGCTTGAAGCCCTATGTTCCACTGGGGAACGTGAAGGAAAAAAAAAACAACTTCAAGTAACTTCTCTAATAGACGGTAGGGAGTTTTAGCAAACACAAATGTTAGCAACTTCCAGTGTTGATCGTGGATTGATACCAGTTAGAGAACCATTGAAAGCCAGATTATGAGACAAAGTTTGCTGACCAATCACACACACATTACACACCTTTGGATAAATTTAAAGAAAAGTGCTGTATAGGATCACACTGTTCGCATTGCTCTTAATTTGGCAAAGCGACTTTATCGATATTATTCCATTATCCTCCCATATCTTTTCCTCCGATTCGCCTTCTTTGGAGTCATGGGTTTCGCTTAGTAGGTTACACAGTTTCCTTTCTGAAGGACTGTGATAAGACCATATATATGTATGAAAGCTATGGAAGAATATAGCTGTCGATTACAGAGTTGCATGCAGACATGCAGACGCTGGGATAAATCATCACAAAATGATCCATTATCCACTAGATCACAGAGACACATGAATACCAGCCGAAAGTGTTTAGTTACAATGACGACATGACATCCGAGGGAAATCCAGTAGGTTTTGGTCTCCCATGACAGTGGTCTTACTGGGTCATTTACAAACGTTCTCCGTTCACCTTCGTCATACGATGTCTTCTGAAGTCAGGTAAAAGTACTGAAGGTGTATTATAGTCAGTTGAAGCGAGAGCACCAACCAGACATATCAACCCCTTATACCTCACCGGTGAGGAATTGGCTTATCCGATTATACTTACAGGCACTGGGACAGTGCTTCCTCTCCCAAGGGAGACAGTTGCAATTAAAATGTGTACTTCATAATTGAATATAACGGCATTTCAGTAATTTTATGTTGAAAGCAATGACCAAACAGTGACTCAAAATTGAACTTATACGTAGAATATGTGCGTCTAAATCTGCATCTTCATCACAATAATACACTGTACCTCGATTCTGGACTTTGCTATCTTCCTTGTGTGCTCCAGTCTGTCGAGTAAACTTTCCGGTTAGCGCACACTTTTTCCAGTTTTCAATGTAAAGCTGCTTCCAGTGATTTGGTTGTCTTTTTAATAGGCCTACAACACTTGACTCAAATGGGCTGAACTTATTACGCACGCTCAATGCCATTGGTTGGATAAGCCATTGAAGGTCGTTTTCGCCCATGTTAGTCAGCCATGCTGAACTGCTGTTTGCCAACCGTCCGATCACACAGTGGCTTTCACGCTTGTCATGCGGTTATTTGCAACTTATCTTGGTGCAGATTATCCACAAATGTCGCATTTTCCATCATTTTGGTTTACATTACTACTAAAATTATACATACCGCTTGCTATGAAAGTTTTACAACCAGATTTAATAATAATATATTTATTCCTATCTATGTGTATTCATTTCATTGCAATTGTTCCATACGTTGCTTTCATGCGCCCTTGAAGTGTTTTAGTTATTTCCCAGCTGTTAACGGAATGACGCTATGCACAAATATTGGAAATTACATATTTGAATGTGTTTCGGTGGAAGAAGCTGTCGTTTCCAGTTCATTTTTTAGTTGCCTCGATTGTTGGTGGTTCAAATGGTTACGAAATATGTAGAAATCTGGAGAAAACAATGTCCTTCACGTTGATGTTTATAGCATACAACAATCCACGAGTCAATATGTTGAAGAAGGCGTGGCCAGAGTTGATATTAGTAAGGTTTCCGAAGAACGTAATAAGCCTGAAGAGAATTTAGAACCTGGGTTGAAGTTGAAAAAGCTTTAAAGTTCTTCAAAAGTTGAGTACAACATAAATGTGCCTAGTGTGAGATTACAAACACCCAGTACGTTCTAACTTAGCCTAAATTAAACGAGGATGAATCACATGTGAAGTGTGAATATGTTGTGATCAGATGTATTTTTGGGAATAAAAAAGAACTTGAAAGCAATCTGAAACCTCTTAAGGGTAAGTGTTATGTATGCTGGTTAGTGCTCAATGTACTAGATCCAAATACAGAGTTAAAAGTGTCTATAGTAAAGCCAATGTTGGCAGCCACTCAATATGTTGCTAAACGATTTAAAAATTTGATAATGTACAATGATCTTTGGAGTATACGAACTACCTAATAGGAAGGTAAGGCTTCAATTAGCAAGAATAACCTGTTGGAGTGTGTGCTCGACAATCAGTGATTTTTCCCGAGTTGCAGCAAGCGGAGAAGCTGATTGTTATTTGGAGTGGAAGCACCGGCTGAATACACATTTCTTATCTCCGTTGACGTAATCCAATTTTCATTTTTTGGATATTTGTAGTTTCTTATAGGCTATGAATACAGGGTGCACGTTTTGTAAGAAAACTTAAAATAAATTTTCCTTAAACCAGTGGTCTTCTTTTTCTAATCTTAATTGGCAAAACATTTGTTTACACGATTAGACGAATGGCCGAGAACCGTAGTCACTGTGCTTCGGACTAATATCGTGCGTCTAATTGTTATAACCCTAATGATGTAGCTTTTTCTTCATGTTGCATTACGACATGTAGAAATTAGAAGCATAATTTCTTCCGTAGACTTATTTTTACTTTGTTGACGACTGTGAATAACGAATCAGTTCTGGCGTTGTGGTGATAGAATAAATACTCCTTTCGTGGATATGTGCATATATTCACTTCATTCCGCTGGAAGACAATGTTTTTACCAAAAACATTCTCCGGATATCCACTTTTACTTTGTAATTCAAAACCAATGTTAAGTTTCGCACTAAGTTATCAGCTACAGGAGATTACCCTCAGCGGAAACCATTTTTAGGTGTCTGCGTAGCTTTAGGTAATGCATCATAGAACTAAGCAGCACACGTTGACTGTCTAAATATATTAAACGTTGTGCAACAGTTCAAGTCGTATATCTTACATACCAGTTACTCCTATAAATAATGAATGTACCGTACAAGCGTTCAACTTGATGTGCATACCTAACTTTTAAACTTTATGCCTATATGTGGTATACATTTAAGGTTGATAAGCTGTGTGATGTAATCTGTAAAACACGCTACTTTCATGACTGAAGCAAGAAGAACGCGTCAAGCAGGATGAAGTGGAGTCGTTAAAGTTTGTTAATGCTTATTAGATGCATAAAACCGTAAATAATTGAATATCCATTAAGCAGAGATATGCAAACACTGCAGTTACTGATCACAAAGGTGATGAACATTAGTTAGCACCACATAATTCAACGGCATATTATGAATAAATAAGGAGTTTTTTCTTATCTCATTATCAGATAAACAGTCTACTTGATGATGTAACTTCATAGTAACAGATTAATTAAGTAGCTATCAGCTCTAAGTTACTATGTTTACTTGTACTACAGACTTGGCATTTAGCAGCATACAGAGGTACAACTCACTAAATAAGGCAAATTTCAGGTGTAGAAAAGTACAGAATTATTATTCAACTTGCTAAGTGCTACTGTATTGAAACAGATGCGAAATCCTACGTATTACTAAAACAACAACCTCAAATCTACAGTAATCCTCTATACCGTTAACTAAGGTTCACCTGTATTAATCCAACTTCACATATTACAATAACCCATGGTAAAGCTACGCATTGAAGCAGTCCAGACGATGTAGTAGTTAAAGGTATATTAAACACTTCACTAATTTTTGCAGGAGAAAATTCTGATGAAGCGTATTAGTGTTAGTTTGACTGACCAATATTTTCTCTGATTTCATATTCGACAACCTCCAAGCACCTAAAAAATAAAGCATATGTAATGATTAGCGGGACATGAAGTTATGAAAGATGAATTTACATATTAGTACGCAAAGTGGATACATTGATTCTACTAAAATTTTCGTGTAAATAAAAGTATTTGCAGTCCATAACCGATTTTTATATTATCACCATACGCATAAGAAGACCTCATATGCCTTCCAGTATCACAGGATTATACACAAACTTCAAGACAATCTCTGGAACATCCATACTGTTAAGGCGCTATTCTGCCATAAGGATTTATTGCATTCCATGCAGATAAGAGGTAGATAAACCACCTCACACCAATTACTTCTACTTTATAGAAAGTATTGCGAATGTGTAACTTGGAAATTATTCCACAACCTAAGTAGTGCCTACTGACCATGGTTTTGTGAATCCTAAAGAAATTATATTCGCATATTTAGGAAACTATGGCCGTCGAGTATAGGGTGCACATTTCTCAACTGTAAACAGTCATGCACAGCGTTAAACAAACAATGTGTCACAGTCAGATCACATGACACGAACACCTACATGACATGTCAGAAAATGAGTTCCAGTCAATCCATAAGACATATAACACAATTTTATTAAAAATTATTCACAAAATATTTACCAAGCGAAAAATCAACCAACTTTCTGGATACGTGTCCTTCAGTACAGAAGAACATTCACCACATGCTTTTGCTTCTAACATCTACAAGTCTGCTCAGTTTCTTGTCAAGATGCTACCACATGGGACATACACAAGTTCGCCAGATATCTTACAGGTCAACATATTCAACAGGTTCTAATCCTTCAAGCCACTTCTCTCTGAAATGTCACTTATTTACTTCACGACAGTCTTTCTATCTAATTACTATTATACTCTGTTTTATCTCAACTCCCTAGGCCTTTAATAAAGCTGAAATTTACTCTTTTTATTCACACTCTTTGCCCGCGTAAAGTTCGGTTGCTTTGATAATGAAAAAAAAAAAACATACCAACAACACACATGTTTGAGAATAACTATATTTCCATTGAAAACGTCATAGTTTTCCATCG